GATGAAAACAGGTGAAAGAGCAAGAGGCAATTCAACGAGTTAGTCAAGGGTGTTCGGGCCGAGTTGGAGAAAATGCTAGGATATGCTTCCATTTGTACAGAAGCTCGCCTTGAAGAAGAAATCATTTGTTTTCCTGCAAAATAATTTACAAGACTTACTGAAGAAGAAAACAGGTCTGCCAAGAATCTCCACTGTGGTTCTAACACAGAAGTTGCCAATACCACTGAAAATTCCCATAGTCCACGGCATTGGGTCTAAGAATGATGGGCCAACAGTAATCACTACAAAAGGTCAGTGTAAATAAGCTAGCCATGGATAGCCATGTGGGATTTGCTCACATTTTATGAAAAATGAAGAAATCAATACAAAAAGGTTCCCCTTGGGACTGTGACTTAATATGACAGGACTCTTAGCTAAACTGATACTACTATTTGGGGGCAGACCATGTTTCTCTGAAATGAACTGGTTGAAAGCAAGTCTCTCTCCTGAAGTCTAAAGTTCTACACATATGATTAACTCCTTGGAGGCATCTTTGAAGTGCAAATGTGTCATCACACATATAAACAGTATATCATCATCTCTGCTTACGATAAACACACATCTACCCTTTCAGAAATGAACCTGAGACTTCGCTTTCAGGGCCCCTGTCATTCAGTATGCCACGTCACTTTTCAGTAGACAGACTGGCTCCATGCCTCTGCCTTGAGTCTGGTTAAATCTACATTGCTTGGTAGCTTAGGGACCCAGCAACTAAATGGATAGCTTTGTATTTCTGAAAAGTGACTGACCTTTAATGAATTAAATGAGAGGGAGAGTGGAAGTCAGGAATGACCAAGGCTGGAGGACATGGTTCTAGCTTCCTGGTCTTCCTACCATCCAAGGGAAGAGAAGATGGCTGCCAAGATACTGACAGAGGCAGGAGAGGAAACCAATACCCCCCCTCTTCACACTTGCTTAGAGCCTCCTGCCCCCCTTCTGGTTATAAGGACCTTCCTTTGGCCGTATGGACTGTACATGTGTCTCCTGGATCCTGTAACTAGCATCAGAAGATCAAAGCTTCCCAGTCTGTCCTCTGGAGGTAGAATATTGTATTTGCAGGAGGGAATTCAAGCACACCAACGCCATTTCTGTGTAACTATCCCCCGAGGGGAAAAAGAACTTGGTCATGGGAGGTATATACAATTAAGGGGAGAACTGCCTGGGATTGTAGGTATTTAAATGATGAGCCCGTCTGAACTGGTATTAAAGAAAGTATAGTTCGTTGGAAGTCAGGCAGACTTACTTCCAGGTCTCTGATCTTGGTAAAGTTCAAAAGCACTGGGCCTTGGTTTTCCTGATGACAGGGTTGGGCCTGATGCAGAGTACCTGAGAGGCCCAGGGAGTGGCCGGGGCTCCATCATCTTCCCTGGCCACCAAAGCAGTTCATCTCTTTAATATGTTGAAATTCAGATGAACAAAAACAAAAACTACAAAGAGCAAGATAATTTTAAAGGTCCCTGATAATTCCATCATTCTTTTTTTTTTTTTTAAGATTTTATTTATTTGAGAGAGAATGAGAGAGAGAGCACATGAGAGGGGGGTAGGGTCAGAAGAGAAGCAGACTCCCCACTGAGCAGGGAGCCCGATGAGGGACTCGATCCTAGGACTCCAGGATCATGACCTGAGTCGAAGGCAATTGTTTAACCAACTGAGCCACCCAGGCGCCCTAATTCCATCATTCTTAGGACTCTCCCCGCCCCCAAATACTTGAGTTACTATCTTAATAACATGCCTACAATAAGACTAGGTAAAAAATTAAAAGTCCCTATAATCTCTGGTCCCCTCCCCTTATCTCCCTTTTTTTAAAACCTAGGGATGTGCTGGCTAAAATATTTCCCCCAAATTCCTGCACAACCTCAGGGGGCACCATTCATAGCAAAGACAATGTCAGTGTGCTCCCCGGAATGTGGCACTCAGTGGCCCTGACGATGATGCTTTTAGAGTGGAGAGGACCTGTGTTTGAATCTCATCTCTGCCACTTACTAGCTATACGACCCCTGGCAAACTATTTAATGATCTCTCCGATCCCATTTCCTTCTGTGTAAAATGGAGATAATAAATTATATTTCTAAAGGCTGTGGTAAAGGCTAAATGAAACAACATATTTAAAGAATCTGGTGTTGGGGAAGCATACCAACACCGATATTAGTTCTTTAAAAATCACAAAAAGCTATGACGTTTCACAGTTCAGAGAATATCCGTGTCCAGGATGTGTGGCCCATACTCTGAGGACAGACCAAAAGATACTGTGAAATGTGAAACAGCTCTCATCTGCTGAAGGTGGGGTAGGTACCTCCAAGGATGAAGGGGTCAGAAGGTTGTGACCAAGCACTACACAATTTTAAGACTGAATTGTGGTAAGCGGCAGAAAGGAAGACTGATCAGCACACTAATGAACCAGGGTGTGTGGGTACAACTGTTATCAAGGATAAGCAACTGTTTAAATAAGATAGGCTGCGCTCATTAAGGCCATATGTGCTGCCAACAAATTACAATGTGCTTAGTTCACACTTTTTTGCCTTTCTTAGGAACCTGAGGCCGGTCAATATTTAATTGTGCTAAGTCTTGTAGTTGACTCTTAAATTAAGAAGTGATTCATCTACACAACTTCGGCATTAGAGATTCTCAAAATATTAAAACTGAAGTGGATTCCAGGTCTCTAAGCCAACCTCCACATGTCACACCAGTGAAAAATAAGTTCTAAGGAAGACGGGAGCAGTCACAAAAGGTAGGGCCAATTTTGGCACTTGGTCTCATTAACTCATTCTCTTTCTTACTATAGGAAATCAGTCTTTAGCTTTCTCCAATATGCATACTAGCAAGTTAACATTGGATATATGGATTCCCTTCTCAACGCTGCATAATTTACGTGGGGCACTGGAAAACCTCTGAAGGGCTGGGTCAATGTCTGAAAGAAGCAGCTGGGTGGGGCTGTGTGGGAAGGTCTAAGGACATTCAAGAAGGTAATGAAGAGCAGAGTAAGGCTGTTAGGGACCCACCAGTCTGGAATATGGGTAGTGAAACTGGAGTCTACTAAGGAACCAAATACAGAATGATTCTCCATATTTAGGATGTAGCACAGTGACCAGCACATAGTAGGTACTGAGTACTTATTTGTTGCATAATCGGATGATGAACCAGGACTGAATGAGTGAATGCATGAAAGGAAGTGAGCTTCAGAGGCAAAAGAGAAGAGGGACCGCCCAGTGAGATGAGGGAAGAGTTACCAAAGCTCTCCTCAACCTCAGCAGGAAGGACAAGACTCGTTTCTCCTGCAAGGACAGTGGAGGGAGTGAGGCTGGGGTCCTCCTGCTTCTGCCTCACATTCCCCTTCTGAGGAAATGTGCCAATTCCCATGGCCCTGCTTCTGCTTCTGGCCACTCTGCTCTGGATGGAACACGCAGAAGTAGAATGCATGGGGGGAGTCCCTCTCCAAGGGCAACAGAAATTTCAAACCCATAATGTCACCTTATTTTCAGAGGAGACTCTGTTTACTTGCTTTCCATTGTATGCTACGGACCATACGGACACCAATGGAAAAACATTTCCTAGGAGGACCCTGAGATCAAGAAACAAATCTGATTTTAGGATAGCAGAGACAAGCCTCACCTAATGAAGAATGAGGGAAAGCTGGGATTTCCGGGCCCATTTTGCAGTCACTGAAATACTCTTGTCGTCTGTGGTCCTGAGCCTGGTGCGCCCTGACCTGCCAGGTCTGCTCCAGCTAGGCTTCGCACGTGGGATCCGTATGAAGAGCGCCGGGGGCACAGAGAGGATGGCGAGCAGTAGCTCATTCTATTTTCTAAACGGTAGGAGGCCAGTGTTAGATGATCTCTTTCCTTTCAACATCTACATCTAATAGTTTTTGCTTTTGTGCGCAGGATGGGGCCACTTGGAAGACAATGTGCACTACTCATCAACATTTTTCGAGGACTAAATGGAGAAGCTGTAATAAAATACTGCATCGACGCCTAAGGAAGACCTTTCTAGGTTCTTAGGATGCAAGCAACTTACTGTTCAAGAGGAACATCAACATGTCAGCGGATAACAACAATGTGCTGGCCAGAATCTTCTCTAATGACATCTAGCAGACTAATGGCAAAACAATGCTGTGTACGTCAGGGGCCAGAGTGGAATAATGGGTTCCGTGCCATGTTCATACGAAAGATACATACAGCTCAAGGAGAAGATGCAATGTCTATAATGTGACCTTCATTTGACATTTGATTAAAACCAAGTTGGTGCACAAATTTTTTTTTTTTTTGGGCAAAACCAGGAGAATAGGTTAGTGAAAAGAGCAATGACAGAAACGCTCTTCCTCAACTCACAGAGTGACTGGCAAGGCTTCTTAAAAATATTTTTAGCTCAGTTTCAATTCCCTAAAAAGAAATGCCACCTAAAAGAAATGTGTTAGGCACCCTCTAAATGTTTCTCATTAAGTTGCCAACACTGGTACTCACCCCTTCAGGCTGGCTTAGAGCACTCAGCCTCACTCTGCTCTGTATGCCATCCGAGGAATAAACCTAAGACTAGCTGCTATTTGAAAGAAAGGGACTACATCTGTAAGAATTTGTATGTTAATATTTGTAAAATATCGTGACAAATAATAGGAAAAAGCGGCCTAGAAAACAGTGCTCTGCAATGAAAGTACAGAAATGGTAGTAAAGAAATCAAACTGAGAGTTTTTCCTAATAAAGGGGCAGGTTAGTTCTCATAGTATAAACAGTCTTAGCTAAGTGGCTAATTCTTCTAAAAAGACCAGCTTTTGGTTAAGAGTGAAAACATACCACCGTGTCTGGATTTAGCACGCAAAGAACTCCCTAGAATGGTTCTCATGCTGTCTAGCTCTGAGCATCCTGATTGTTTTTTTGTCTTTAATTATGCTGCCGAACACCTAACTTTTTATGTAAAACTGAGTCTAAGGAGACAGGATGAGCAAAGCCCTACAAATGCCCACTCACCTCCCATGATTTTGGACTGGCAGTTAATAAACTCCGGCTTCCTGTCCGTGAGGTACCTCTGGCAGGTGTGGTGGAGGATCTGGAAGAAGGTGCATTTTTCTGAGGCTGTGCTGGCTACCCACTGGTCAAATGCGTTTTCAAACAACAAATCAAACTCTGCAGAATCCTGGAAAAGACAGTGAAATAACTACTGATCTCAATCTATAAAAACTGCTGCTTTCAGCTTACTCCTGACAAAAGACTCGTAAAGGCAAAAACACCTTTCAAAACTTTGGTCTTAATCACAAGGCTCATCTTTATTAGCACCTAGATGCATGGAAAGAGAGTCCACCTTTCTGTTTATCAAGCAACCCCCCAGATCTGAAGAGTATTTATAGATGTCCCTAGGAGGCTAGTATCACAAAAGCCCTTCCAGCATACCACACATGGATCTGACAGAATTTAGGCTACATGCTGCCTTCCCAAGGACCTGGAAAAGGATTCCTTCAGGTTCTTAGCTCTATTAATTAATCTTGCCCCTAACCTTTGGTAAGGAAAAGATTCTCCCTTATTATTTTAGCATACAGTTACAATTTACATTTTATTTTTCCTCATTATTGAGGTTTTGTACAGCAAGTATGTGTGAGCAAAAGGGAAAGTACTTAAATAAATAATTCTACCTTAAAATGTTTCTCATGTATAAATCCAAATACATAATTTGTAAGGTGTCATCTATTTGTTTTGGGAAAAAAAACCTCATCACTGGTGGTATTAGGAGATAAATGAAGCTTTGATGAATGTAGTTTTTCATATTAATAACCATGGACATGATATCTGAACTCTGCCCTTTGCACTTGGCTGATACACATACAGGAGCCAGCATTTCTTCGATATGCATCCCTTTACGTTTCTGCATCAAACATGATGAAAAGACTTGTAGTTCCCCATAAGGACACAGAAATCCTAAAGTCTTAGCCACATCACTGAAATAGAGAAATAGTTTGTTAGAGATGACTCAGATAACTACCAGCACCGCCAAGGTCAGCGAGAGAGTCCTCGTGTGAAGAGAACACCTTCGCTCAACACTGGGCATTCACTCACCCGATTAGGATCGATGCCATTAACCTGGCGAAGTTGCTCAAGCATCCACTGTGATCTCCGCACGAACGACGTGGAGCCTTCAAACTGTTTGACCTTCGTGATGGATGCCTGTGTGGGTTTCTTGTTTGTCACTGCCAAGAAAAGACCACTCAGATTAGCAGGCGCGAAGGTTGGTTTGTTTTCTCATTACACCTACGTGTGTATACACACACACACACACACACACACACACAGAGTATGAATATGTGTGTCTTTGATGAGGGGTGAACTCAAAAGAAATAGTTATACTCTCCACTCTCAAGTAATTACAACATGATTATAATTGTGAAGGCTGCTTCATTTATGTCTTCATTCAAACTAAACACAACTCAACCGAGGGACACCAAGCACTTTTAACGGAGGCTACAAGTGCACGATGACCAACTGCAGGGAAAGCAGCACGCGGGGCTGGCAGGCATCAGGGTAGAGTTCACTGGGAAAAGCTGAATTGTAAAGGAAGTGGAGGTTACTGGCTCCCCTAGGGAACTGCAATGCATATTTCCAGTGTAAATAAATCAGGCTTCACCGGTAAGATAGAGTAATGCTTCACTTTAAAAAAATATTTGGGGGTGCCTGGGTGGCTCAGTTGTTAAGCGTCTGCCTTCGGCTCAGGGCATGATCCCGGGGTGCTGGGATCGAGCCCCACGTTCGGCTCTCTGCTCCACGGGAAGCCTGCTTCTCCCACTCCTGCTCCCCCTGCTTGTGTTCCCTCTCTTGCGTGTCTCCCTCTCTTTCAAATAAATAAGTGAAATCTTTAAAAATAAACAAATAATGAAAAAAAAATATTGTTCAGTTTGAATCTAGTTTGCATCTGTTTCTGTGTTTGGCATTCACGCACTGCCCCCCTCCCAAATTCCTGAGGTCACCACACCTGCAGGACCAAGACAGCTGCTTCTCCCAGCCTTAGTCAGTTCTTCCTTTGCCCTTTCCATGCTGAGGGTGGACAGTGTCACCCCTCAGACAGAGGCCAAGCACCAGCCACTAGGAGAGAGTCACTCTGGATATTTCCACATCTGCTTACTTCGTGACTTAGAGCCTCCAGGGTGGGGTGGTCATTAAGTGTTTTAAAAGGGCTTTCCTAAAAGTTCCTCCTGAGGCCTGGCTGTAGGAATTTGTAAAATTTAACAGAAATGATGCTATTAAGGGAACCAGAAAAAGTGGAAAGTACTACTTGTAATGAATGTAATCCTAATGAGCCTGTGCATCGACGGCACATTCTTTCTTTGTTTCCAATAACCCTGCAGGTCCTACATTTCCAGATAACTATGCAGATGTTCAACAGATGGCAAAAATAATCCTTGAGGGGTGAAGGACAGAAAGCACCTGCTCCAGTCACGGCTGTTGGTAAGAAGACTGTCCTCCATGCATAGGAGAGTGTAGGGCAGTTTCAGTATCCGGGGTCATCAACGCAGGAACGCAGGGACCAAGAGACGAATGAGATGTGGGCACCGTGCCCTCACGTCTGGTGAGAGCCCTGGGCTTCCGAGACTAAAGACCTCTTTTTATGACACTCTCCCCTTTGCTCCAAACCAGAATTTAGCAAACATTTAAAAAAATAATTTCAAATAATGCTTAGGTTTATTACTCATTATGTCAGTTAGATTTGGCTAAAAGCTTCTGAACATTTCATATCAATTACGTTTACTTTCATGGTTAAAAAGTCACCATCCGCTGGGCCTGGCCGGGGCTGAGGGCAGGGCGGGCGGCCGACCCTCAGGAGCGGCTGGCCTCGAAGCCGCTCTCCTCAGGGACGGCTCTGGAGGCAAGGCCGTCCGCACGCCTCCTCCCGATCTGGGTCGGTGCTCGCCCTTGCTCTCCTCTCCGCGTCCCCATGGAGAAGACGGAGCTGATCCAGAAGGCGAAGCTGGCCGAACAGGCCGAGCGCTACGATGACATGGCCACCTGCATGAAGGCCGTGACCGAGCAGGGCGCCGAGCTGTCCAACGAGCGCAACCTGCTCTCGGTGGCCTACAAAAACGTGGTCGGGGGCTGCAGGTCCGCCTGGAGAGTCATCTTGAGCATCGAGCAGAAAACCGACACCTCGGACAAGAAGTTGCAGCTGAGGGGCGCCTGGGTGGCTCAGTTGGTTAAGCGACTGCCTTCGGCTCAGGTCATGATCCTTGAGTCCTGGGATCGAGTCCCACATCGGGCTCCCTGCTCAGCGGGGAGTCCGCTTCCCACTCTGACCCTCCCCCCTCTCATGCTCTCTCTCTATCTCATTCTCTCTCTCAAATAAATAAAATCTTTAAAAAAAAAAAGTTGCAGCTGATTAAGGACTATCGGGAGAAAGTGGAGTCTGAGCTAAGGTCCATCTGCACCACAGTGCTGGAATTGTTGGATAAGTATTTAATAGCCAATGCAACTAATCCAGAGAGTAAGGTCTTCTATCTGAAAATGAAGGCAGATTACTTCCGGTACCTTGCTGAAGTTGCATGTGGTGATGATCGAAAACAAACGATAGATAATTCCCAAGGAACTTACCAAGAAGCTTTTGATATAAGCAAGAAAGAGATGCAGCCCACACACCCAATCCGACTGGGGCTGGCTCTTAACTTTTCTGTATTTTACTATGAGATCCTTAATAACCCAGAGCTTGCCTGCACACTGGCTAAAACAGCTTTTGATGAGGCCATTGCAGAACTTGATACACTGAATGAAGATTCATACAAAGACAGCACCCTCATCATGCAGTTGCTTAGAGACAACCTAACATTATGGACATCAGACAGTGCAGGAGAAGAATGTGATGTGGCAGAAGGGGCAGAAAACTAAATGCATACGGGGTGGTCATCCTTCTTCCCCTCAAGAAACCTTTTTACTCATCTCCATTCCTTATTCTATTTGGATTTCCTATAGCAAAGAAACCCACTCTTGTGTATGGAATCAACTGTTTATAGTCTTTTCACACCGCAGCTTTGGGAAAACTCCATTCCTTGATTTGTGTTTGTCTTGGCCTTCCTGGTGTGCAGTTACTGCGGTAGAAAAGTATTAAGAGCTTCATTTCATATAAACATAAGTAACTTCCAAACACTTATGTAGAGGACTAAAAATGTATCTGGTATTGAAGTAATCTGAACCAGTTCTGCAAGTGACTGTGTTTTGTATTACTATGAAGATATGAAAATGTAGTCATTACAATTTACAAAGTGTTCTACATAACTTAATTTCTACATTCCCTCCCTTACTCTTCTTCAGGGGTTTCCTTTGAGTAAGCAACTTTTCCTTGCTCTTAATGTATTCCTTTTTGGTAGGAATCCAGAAGTATTCGATTGAATGGAAAAGCATTTGGCATTTCTGCGCTGGGGGTCACAAATTGAAATGCCTCCTGTATCATATATGATGGAGGTCTTGTATATCTGTGACAACAGGAAGTTTCCTTATTGATTCTTCGTTGCTGCTGTTTAAGTTGACAACTTCCCTTCCCAATAAAAATTCACTTACACCTCCTGCCTTTGTAGTTCTGGTATTCACTTTACTATGTAATAGAAGTAGCATGTTGCTGCCAGAACACAAGCATTGCTTTTGGCAAATTAAGGTGCATGTCATTTCTTACTATACTAGAAAGGGAAAATAAAGTACACAAGTCCAAGTCTAAAACGTTAG